CTGGATAAAGTATTCTTGGTTGCATGTTCTTCTCATTTAGGACCCTGAATATATCCTGCCAGCCCTTTCTGGCCTGCCACGTCTCTGTGGAGAGGTCTGCTGTTACCCTAATATTCCTCCCCATGAAAGTCAGGGACTTCTTGTCTCTTGCTGCTTTAAGGATCTTCTCTTTATCTTTGGAATTTGCAAGCTTCACTATTAGATGTCGAGGTGTTGAACGGTTTTTATTGATTTTAGGGGGGGATCTCTCTATTTCCTGGATCTGAATGCCTGTTTCCCTTCCCAGATTGGGAAAGTTTTCAGCTAGGATTTGTTCAAATACATATTCTGGCCCTCTGTCCCTTTCGGCACCCTCGGGAACCCCAATTAAACGTAGGTTTTTCTTCCTTAGGCTGTCATTTATTTCCCTTAATCTGTCTTCATGGTCTTTTAATTGTCTGTCTCTTTTTTCCTCAGTTTCCCTCTTTGCCATTAACTTGTCTTCTATGTCACTCACTCGTTCTTCCACCTCGTTAACCCTCGTCGTTAGGACTTCTAGTTTGGATTGCATCTCATTCAATTGATTTTTAATTTCTGCCTGATTGGATCTAAATTCTGCAGTCATGAAGTCTCGTGAGTCCTTAATGCTTTTTTCTAGAGCCACCAGTAGCTGTATAATAGTGCTTCTGAATTGGCTTTCTGACATTGAATTGTAATCCAGATTTTGTAACTCTGTGGGAGAGAGGGCTGTTTCTGATTCTTTCTTTTGAGGTGAGGTTTTCCTTCTAGTCATTTTGCTCAGTGCAGAGTGGCCAAAAACAAGTTGTATTGGGAAAAGGAGAGAAAGAGAGAGAAGGAAAGAAAAGAGAAAGAGAAAAAAGAAAAAGAAGAAAAAAAAAAGAGAAGAAAAAGAGAAAGAAAAAGAAAGAAAGGTGAAAAAAAAGGGGGGTGGGGGAAGCAATCAGAAATCAAAAAGAAAAAAAAAGAAAACAATAACAAAAAACACGGGGGAGTATCTTCTGATTCTGTATACTTTAAGTCCCTTGACTTCCCCTGGAACTGGTCCGTCCAGCTGGTCTTCTGGGGGAGGGGCCTGTTGTGCTGATTCTCAGGTGTTAGCACTTGGGGGAGCTGCTCTGCCCCTGCCTGCTGCAGGGCTCAGCGGGGGTTGTTTACCCCGTGGGCCCCAGGAGGAACAGCAGCAGTTGCTATGGCAGCTCTGGAAGCCTGGATTCAGCCTCCGCAGGAACTACGGGGCTCTCTGTCCCATCCTCAGGGCCTGGAGGCTCCGGGGCGGGGCCGCTGATCTGCTCAGCTCGGGGCAGGAGCGTCCTTGCTGTCCTGGGCCCTCCCGGCCTCTGCCTGTCCCGGGGGAGGCCGGATCCTGGGCTGTGTCCCGGCGCCCTGTGCTCCGGGGCCTGCGCTGTTGGATTCGCGCTCCCGCCCCGCAGCCTCCCTCCGCTGGAGCCGCCCGCCCGAGCCCCTCCGAGCTGCTCCGGGTCCCGCCGTGCGCGCTGCAGCCCTTAGGGAGCTCGGCGCACTCTCCCGGGGCGCAGGTGTCTGTTAGTGTCCCAGGGAGCCCGAGGGCATCCCCGCCCTCCTGGGTCCTGCTCCAACTCCCTGCGAGCCCCTTTCCGCCCGGGAAGGTTGGTGCAGCTCCTGCTTCTCTGGGACGGGGCTCTCCTGTCCTGGGGACACTCGCCCCGGCCTCAGCCCGGCTCCTCGCGGGGCCCCTCCCCCTCGGAGGCCTTTTGTTCTTTATTTCTTTTTCCCCGTCTTCCTACCTTGATAGAAGCGCGAACTCTTCTCACTGTAGCATTCCAGCTGGTCTCTCTTTACATCTCAGGCCGAATTCGTAGATTTTCAGGATGGTTTGAAGGTTATCTAGGTAATTTGGTGGGGACAGGTGATTTGGGGACCCTACTCTTCCGACGTCTTGCTCCTCCTCCTGGATGAGTTCCATTGTTTGTCTTTAAGTTCATTGATTCTTTCTTGTGCTTGCTTATATGTGCCTTTGAATATCTACTGAATTATTTCCAACTCCAGTATTCCCTTTCGGCTTCTCTTTAGGTTTCTCTTTATTAATATTTCCACATTGTTCTCTTGACTTCATGTCTTTAGTTATTTGACCATGTTTAAAAACGGTTGAAGTCTTTGCTTAGTAGGCCCACCATCTTGCTCTTCTAGTGACAGTCTCCATTGATTTTTTTCCCCCTTTGAATTGGCCATACTTTCCTGTTTCTTTGTATGCCTCGTGATATTTTTGTTGAAAACTGGATATTTAAATCTAATAATGTCAGAGGCACCTTGATGGCTCAGTGGTTGAGCATCTGCCTATGGCTCAGGTCATGATCCCAGGATCCTCAGATTGAGTCCCACATCGGGCTCCCACTGGAAGACTGCTTCTCCCTCTGCCTGTGTCTCTCTCCCTTTCTGCGTCTCTCATGAATAAATAAAATCTTAAAATAAATGAGTAAGTCTAATAATGTGGTAACTCTGGAAATCAGAATTTCCTCTGTCCCCAGGGTTTGCTCTTTTTGTTTTATCTTGTTTTTGATTATTGCACTGGTCTCTGTGCCAAGGATCACCCTAAGGAGTAAACCTAAGACCTTCACAGTCTTTTCTGAGCCTACACCTTTCCCTGGGTATGCACTGGGACTTTCTGATTTTCTCTACAAATGCAATTTCTTTTGAATGTCCTAGACTTTAATGTCTGGCTCTCCAAAGGAGAAAACACAGAAAAATGAGGGGGGGTTGGCATTGAGCCTTTAAATCCTTTGGAACTCCAGTCAGACAAGAAAGGGCTTGCAACAGCGGGGGAGGCGGCGGTGGAGTGCAACAATAGCTGCCAGCCTCTGTGTCTATAGCTCCATAATCAGAAGCAGCAATCGATCAGAGTATAAATCCTGATATTTGGAAACGAAGTCCTTCTTGCCCTGAACTGGCTCCCGTAAGCTGTGTGCAGGCTGCTCCTGCAACTCTTGCCTGCCTGCCGTGGTGCTGGGAGGGTAGATGGGTGGCTGGTGCACCGTTAAGACCTAAAATTGGCCAAAATTAACTGCCGTTTCCCTTCCAAGCATTCCCTTAAAGTCATAAGCCTTCAGTAGACTGCAGAGTTTCCAAACAGCTGTGTCAGACAGATGCACCAGCCCAGGTGTTGTCTAGGTGGGAAGACATTTCCTAGCACTCCCTACTCTTCTGTATTCCCAGAATCCTCAGTCTCAGTCATTTTTATAGGATTAACTAACCATTGTGGTAATAGAAACACGGGTACTCTGTTTCTTCAAGCACCAAGTTTTACTCATAAGAACATTTTCTTTTTTTTTTTTAAGATTTTATTTATTTATTCATGATAGACAAGCAGAGAGAGAGAGAGAGAGAGAGAGAGAGAGAGAGGCAGAGACACAGGCAGAGGGAGAAGCAGGCTCCATGCTGGGAGCCCGATGTGGGACTCGATCCTGGGACTCCAGGATCATGCCTGGACCGAAGGCAGGTGCCAAACCACTGAGCCACCCAGGGATCCCTCCTGAGAACATTTTCAAATTTTGCAACAAAGGCTTTTAAGGATTTTCTGAGTAATTGTGGCACGGGAAGGGGGGTGGAGGGTGGAGAGGGTGGGCAGAGAGAGAGGGAGAGAATCCCAAGCAGGCTCCATGCCTAGCACAGAGCCCGACACCTGGGCTCAGCTAACAACGCAGAGATCATGACCTGAGCCACGCAGGTGCCCCTGAGTAATTTAAGAAGCTAATTCCAGTGATGTGCATTTTCTCTATAGGATTACCTAGAGAGAGGCGCCCAGGTGGCTCAGCTGGTTGAGCATCCCACTCCTGAGTTTGGCTCAGGTTGTGACCTCAAGGCCTGTACTAGGCTCCATGCTCAGGGGGAAGTCTGCTTCCATCCTTCTCTCTTCCCCTGCCGCTCCCCTACTTGCACGTGTACTCATGCACATGCATGCACTCTCTCTAACAAAGAAATAACCTTTATAATTACCTAGACAGAGAGGCTCTAGAACGTCTTAGTTTAGCAACCTACACCAAATTAGGTCTCAAGCATGTTTGACTGATTTTGCAGGTGATTTCAGTGGCCTCTTTACATAGTAATATAATATCAAGATTACATTCTTCCTTTTTTTTTTTGCTTTTATGTTTCATGAAATGTAAGCTTCCCTCTTACTTGTTCTCCTGATGGAACTGTAGGTATTATAAGCCTTCCTTGAAATTGGTCACTCATAGAAAAATGAAGGATGTTCCCTTTCTTCTTTGCCCAAGTAAAAGAAACAAATGAAAAGTCAAAAAAAATCTTTTATTTTTTTTTTTTAATCTTAAAATCACATTCACAGGGCAGGCCGGATGGCTCAGCAGTTTGGCACCACCTGTAGCTCAGGGCCTGATCCTGGAGATCCGGGATCGAGTCCCACGTCAGGCTCCCTGCATGGAGCCTGCTTCTCCCTCTGCCTGAGTCTCTGCCTCTCTCTCTCTCTCTCTCTCTCTCTCTCTCTCTCTCATAAATAAATAAATAAACAAATAAATAAATAAATAAATAAAATAAATCTTAAAAAAAAAAACCTTGTGTTAAATTATTTTAAAAAAATCACATTCACAGAAAATACTCCATTTTTTAATTCCACATAAAATCCAGGATTATTTTCTTAGATTTACATAGTAAAACACAGCTGAGAAACACCATCTCCACTTTCTGACATAGTTTATAAGGCTCAACAAAAGAGCATGTGAAAATTTTGAAAAGTATAAAAAGCTAGCCTTTAGGTAGAAAAAGAAGATCCAGGCTATGAGGGTAAAACGTAAAAATAATTCAATTAAATCAAATCAACATTTAGTTTACTGTGTGGTAATATCTGAGTTGGTAAAAAATGAAAATGTATTGGAGATGTACATTTCAGGTTATAATGTGAACAATAACTGAAAAAAAAATCCCATTCTTTTCTTTCTCCCCGTTCTTTTTTTTCACAGGGTTGATGTATGGACTAAGTATAATTTTGTGTATATATGTGTTTCTTTCAGGGCTTGTGGTTGGATTTATCCTAACCATTGCAAATTTCAGCTTTTTTACCTCTTTGCTGATGTTTTTCCTTTCTTCTTCAAAACTCACTAAATGGAAGGGAGAAATAAAGAAGCGTCTAGATTCAGAATACAAAGAAGGTAAACTGAATCATGTTTGACATCACTTAAAATAGTAATCTTTATTTCATCCTAAGACGTTATAAGCTTATAATTGGAACATGTTTAGACTGTTGAAACAGATAAATTTTATATAAGAATAACTAAGTAGTAGCCTAATTTAGCTTATCATCACTTCACCACAATAATAAGTAAAGCAGAATTTTAGAAGCATTAAAATCTATCATTCTAAACAATATAGAATGTAAGCAAAAGTACCATCCAACTTTTAGTTATTTTTAAAATTTTAGTCATTTTTCTTTCTTTAACCTTTAAAATACGTTCGTGTAATGTAATGTAACTGCATGATTTTCCTTTGAGGAGAAAACATTTCTTGTGTTCTTTATCCATTTGTTCACATGTAGGTGGGCAGAGGAATTGGGTTCAGGTGTTCTGCAATGGGGCTGTGCCCACAGAGCTGGCCCTGCTGTACATGATAGAAAATGGCCCCGGGGAGATCCCGATAGATTTTTCCAAGCAGTACACCGCTTCCTGGATGTGTCTGTCTCTCTTGGCTGCACTGGCCTGCTCTGCTGGAGACACCTGGGCTTCAGAAGTGGGCCCGGTTCTGAGTAAAAGCCCTCCGAGGCTAATAACAACCTGGGAAAAAGTTCCAGTTGGTGAGTCTTTAAGTTTCTTTAAAAAACAAAATGCACGGGAAAAAAATCTGATTTATTGTGTTTCTTACTTAAGAGCCTTTTAAGAATTTTAGTCAGTCTCCCTAATTGGAAAACTGCTGTCGGCTGTTAAATTGGTGATAAGAAATAGTGTTTACAGAAAATGTTAGCAAGTCCTAGATAAACAATCTAGAAATGCAAAGACCTATCAGTAGGAGAGGAAAAGGAAGAGAATGAGAGAGTATTTCTTGAGGACCTGTTACGTAGTTAGTGCTTTAACATATACCTCAGTTCTGTGTTACTATTATCAACAACTGCTGCTGCTGCTGTTACACTTTTTGTCGTCGTCATCACCTGCCCTTAAGTAGACTATGGCCTTTGGATTGTATGAAAGAGAACCTTTTCTTTGAATTAGTCTTGATAAGAGAGGTTCCAAAATTTTTTGCTTTCCTTGATTTCGTGTGTTTGCTGATTGTTAACCAGATTATTTTCTGTATATATATTTTTTTCAGGGACCAATGGAGGGGTCACAGTGGTGGGCCTTGTCTCCAGTCTACTTGGCGGTACCTTTGTAGGCATCACCTACTTCCTCACACAGTTGGTCTTCGTTAATGATTTAGACATTTCTGCTCCCCAGTGGCCAATTATTGCATTTGGGGGTCTGGCTGGATTACTAGGATCAGTTGTGGACTCATATTTAGGAGCTACAATGCAATTTACTGGTAAGACCATAACTTTATTATTACGAGTTATGGGTGTATTAAATGGGAAAGAAATATGGGGGAGAAAACCTTGGCAATGAATACAATCCCAAAGACAGGAACTTGAGAGGCCAGGAATGACAGGATAGAGTCTTTCCTACAATTTTGATTTTTAAGGGTTTTGTTTTTTTTTTTCTTGTGTTAAATTAATTGAAAGAGAATTAGTCCCACTGAGCAATGAGTAGAAGCTGTTCAGGAAACAGATGCTTTTGCTTTGGGGACTTCACCTAATCCCAGGGAAAGCAGAACATTTGGGACCAGATCATTTTTAATGCTCCACCTTCCGTTTGCTTTCCAAGCCCATTTGAGAGAGAATGATTATACGACTCTGTTCACATACGACCTGTTTCTCTACTGTGACATAATGCTTTCTGTCCCCACTGAATTTTTAGCCCAACTCAAGATATGTGGGAGAGTTGGTTTTCCCCAGAATTTTCTAGGCTTGGCTTCTGAGGCTCTCCTGTCACTTCAGTGTCCTGACATACTGTGGTAGGTGTGTATTTCCTCCGCACTCTGACCAACCGTGTTTCCTCCTTTGATTCACAGTGAAGAGGCTGGGAGTTTGGAGTTTGCCTTTGTACAGTCCTTCCAGTTCTCTTCATGTGCCAAGATGATATACTTGCCCTTCTGCTTTGCTCCCCACCTATCAGAGTGTTCTCTCAGATTCATTTGTCTTATCTAAATACTAAGGAGGAAGCAGTCTGATCTTAGTTCAAGCTAAGGTCACTAACGACACACTTGCACACACACACACACACACACACACACATACTCTCTCTCCCTATGTTTTTTGTTGGTTGATTTTTGTAGAAGCCTAGGTTTTATTCTAAACTGGGCTCTAACTGGGGAAGTTTCTGATCATGTTGAGTGGGTTGAAAAAATGTTGGCTGTGAGAAAGATGTGTGCCTCCCCTGTGCTGGACCCATGCTGGGTCCTGGGTCGCCACTGCCGAGGCTGAAGACGCAACCCTTATTCCCAGGGACCTTGCAGGTTGGTCTTAGAGGCCTAGTATTCTAGTTTCATGCTCTCTCTGCTTTTCATGTCCTTCCTTCTTCCTGTGAAGGAATTCCAGTAGTGTTGAGAGAACAGTATCGAGGTGTACTCAAAAGGACATTTCAAAAAAGTCCTTTGTAATCAAGGGTTCCCTATCTCACCATATAATTACCCACTGAAGTCAGTTAATAGGTCCTGAGAGTCTTTCAAAGATTATATGCTTCAGAGGAGAAAAGCTAATCTGTTTTTAAGTCAAGTCGTTTGGACTTTGCACCTCACTTGCTGCTTTTCCCCTCCAGGTTTAGACGAAAGCACTGGCATGGTGGTCAACAGCCCAGCGAATGAGGTGAAGTACATAGCGGGGAAACCCATTCTTGATAACAATGCAGTGAACCTGTTTTCTTCGGTCGTTATTGCCCTCTTACTCCCAACTGCTGCTTGGGGTTTCTGGCCCATGGAGTGAACTTTTTTTTTCCTTTACAAAGGTTGAAAACTGTGGTAAAGTCAGCTAAATTTGCAATTCCAAGTTTCATCCTAAGAAGAATAATTGTAATGGCAAAGAGGAAATACCAGCTCTTCCCATATTCCATTGTGATGAAATTCCACATTTTTCCTCTCACTAACTACCCTGTAACAGCTGACCTCTTTGTAGTGAAAGATGTGTGAATAGACCTTATTCATATTTTTCTTCTGAATAGAGCTTCTTAAGCAATGAAACTATAATGTCCCTATATATTGCTGAGCTGAATGTTCCTACGTGGTAAATATAAATTTTGTTTTGTTTAAACCAGTGTAGGGACTAAAAGTATAATGCCACTAGTACCAGTTGCCCAAATTTTAGTTTTGGGTAATTTAAACTGATGTGTGTGGAAGCCTGAATAAATGTAGTCCTGGACTTCTTCCATTACTTGCTATTTCCAGTTGTGAAAAGTGTGGAGTTTTAAGTTCTTAGTATGCTACTCCACATTTGTTTTTCCTTCCTCAGGGTTAGAATGAAAATAAAGTATATGTCTTTTTCATATGACCATTAGAATGCACGAAAAAATTATTTTTAAGTAAAAGTGAAAGAGATTTATCTTCTATCTAAAAAAGTGCACCTTACATTTCAGTTGATTTCTGAGCAGAAATTATTCTGAATTCAATATTTGTTAATGTATTTTCTAGCTTTCTTTGAAATTTGTATAGGAATCTGTTTTACTTTGGCATCCTGAATAGTTAGAGTCACTGGAAAACTATTGTAATTAGTTTTTTCGTTTGCTGCCTAGAATTCATTGGAAGATGCTATGACTTCTATTCTGAGCTTAAGTTATGCTCTCCTGTACAATACAGACTCAACTAAAATGAATTCTACTTTTCTGTTTTGTCCTTCACTATAATTTACTACTGTATGCTAAAGGAGTTTGATATGGTATGGATTATTTTGCTGAAAGTATTTGAAAATATTTCTTATGTGGTTTCCATACATCTCCCTCTGAAAGAGAGAAAGCAAGCAAGCAAGCAGCAAGCGAGCAGTTGACACCCTAAACCCAGGCAACAGAGGAGATCTTAATCATTGGTTTTCACTTTTGGGTGTACATTGGAATCACTGAGCATCTTTTCAAAGAAATACTTGTGTCTGGGCTACACTTCCAAGGATTCCAGTTTATCTGTTCTGGGGTAGAGCCTGGGTAGTAGGACTTTTTAAGGGCTTGAGCTTACAACCCTAAGATCAAGAGTTGCATGCTCTCGGACTGAGCTAGCCAAGTACAGGGTGTTTTTAAAAACACTAGCCAAGGCCTCCTCTAGACCAAGTAAATCAGACTATCTGAAGGTAAGGCCCATCATAGGTTATTTTTAGAAAGCTCTCTAGGAGATTCTAATTTTAAACAGGTTGAGGGGGATCCCTGGGTGGCGCAGCGGTTTGGCACCTGCCTTTGGCCCAGGGCGCGATCCTGGAGACCCGGGATCGAATCCCACGTCGGGCTCCCGGGGCATGGAGCCTGCTTCTCCCTCTGCCTGTGTCTCTGCCTCTCTCTCTCTCTCTCTCTCTCTCTCTCTCTCTCTCTCTCTGTGACTATCATAAATAAAAAAAAAAATTAAACAGGTTGAGAACTACTAAATCAGAATGTCCTAAAGCACTCTGTAAAAGAAGCTTCAAAAGAGTGGGGTTTTTCCTTTTTATGCAGACAACTGTTAGCAGCAGCGCTGTATGCTGTCTTGATGCATTAATAGCTTCTGGTAATTATGCCGTGTCCTATACATCACGTAACAGATCATTGCTGTGTCAGTTTGTGATGCGGCCTGCTTATTCCTGTAGCTGTCCCAACATGCTTTTTCTCTTTTCCTGGTGAGTCAGCTTCATGACAAACCATGGAATAAAAATATTTATTGCAACTAATTTTGGGTTTGGTAAAATCACCGTATCATTAGCAATTTCGGGAAACACTGCTTGACAAGCCTTCCTCAGAAACCTAGGGCTAATTATGTTTTGGAATCACAACTTTCAGATTTTAGAAAACTATAACAGGAGATACATTTTACTCAGACTTCCGCAAGAGGCTATGGTAGCCCCCATTCTCAAATACGCTGTTTCTATGGAATGTATGAATCGCACCACTACATGTGATGATGAAGACTATGAAGAGCCTAAGGTCAGGTCAGTTTTGTCACCAAATTTAGGGAGAAACTGTTTTCAGAGCTTTTTTGGATATGAGAATTACAAGCAAAGAATTGTGACTCTTCTTAAACATAGATGTATTTTATTGTAGCATCCTTTGTATTGGATATTTAACTAGTTCAATCTGTTCTTCCCCTTTACTGAGTGAAGCTTAAAATAAACGTCACTTTATTTTTAAAATAAAAACACTTGGGCAGCCCATGGTGTGATCCTGGAGACCTGGGATCGAGTCCCGCATCGGGCTCCCTGCATGGAGCCTGCTTCTCCCTCTGCCTGTGTGTCTGCCCCCCTCTCTCTCTATGTCTCTCATGAATAAATAAATAAAATATTTTAAAAAAATAAAATAGGGCAGCCCTGGTGGCGCAGCAGTTTAGCACTGCCTGCAGCCCAGGGCGTGATCCTGGAGACCCTGGATCGAGTCCCATGTCGGGCACTCTGCATGGAGCCTGCTTCTCCCTCTGCCTCTCTCTCTGTCTCTATGAATAAATAAATAAAATCTTTTAAATAAATAAATAAATAAATTAATTAATTAATTAATTAATTAATTAATTAATTAAAAAATAAAATAAATAAAATAAAATCACTTTCAGGGAACCTGGGTGGCTCAGTCGGCTAAGCATCTACCTTCAGCTCAGGTCAGACTGATCTTGGGGTCCTGGGATCAAGCCCTGCACTGGGCTCCCTGCTTGACAGGGAATCTGCTTATCTATCTCTCATCCAGCCCCTCCCTCCTGCTCATGTTCTCCCTCTCTCTCAAATAAGTAAAATCTATAAAAAATAAAGTAAACCAAAAATAAATACACTTTTGTCAGGGCGCCTGAGTGGCTCAGTCTCTTAAGCGTCTGCCTTTGGCTCAGGTCATGATCCCAGGGTCCTGGGATTGAGTCCTGCTTTGGGCTCTCTGCTCAGCGGGGAGCCTGTTTCTCCCACGCTCTCTGCCCCTCCCTCCTGTTCATGTTCTCTCTCTTTCTCTCCCATGTGCACTTTCTCACTCTCTCTTAAATAAAATCTTTTTTAAAAATAAATAATTATGGGATCCCTGGGTGGCTCAGCAGTTTAGTGCCTGCCTTCAGCCCAGGGCATGATCCTGGAGACCCGGGATCAAGTCCCATGTCAGGCTCCCTGCATGCAGCCTGCTTCTTCCTCTCCTGTGTCTCTGCCTCTCTCCCTCTTACTGTGTTTCTCAGGAATAAATAAATAAAATCTTAAAAAAAATTATTAAATAACCATACTTTCATAGAATTCCATGTAACAGTTCACAAAACAGTATGTCCTGCCTACCTAGGCAGCCCAAAGGTGTACATACCATTTCTTAACATACTGTTATGCAGTAGAGGAGAGGAAGGTGTGGGGCTTAAGGCTTTTGAAGCTTTTGAAGGAGACCTGAAGACTTGAAGGAGTAGCATTTGATGATGTATCGGGACGTACCAGAGAACAATGAATTGCTACAATAAGTCACTCCATTCTTTCTCATTACTTGGGTTATGGATGCCTCAGACAAGGTGCAAATATCTCTGTCTTATTTCTAACTCCTGTATATGCAGGACGCTGGCTTCAGAAATGCCAGCCTTATCCCAATTAGATAAAGACAGTATGGAGAAAAATCATGCAAGGTGAGCTATCCTAAACTGCCTCGTGCCTGTAGTATGGACAGCTGCCCCCAGTTATGCATAGTGGGTACGCTGGAACCCAATCATCTGATGTCCCTGGTGTTTCATCTGCTTTTCTAATGTCATCACAATGAAAAAAAAAAAACAAAACAAAACACATTAGCCATCAAATTTCAGGTGAATTTACAAGCTTTTAAAGATAAAAACACATAAAAAAAAATAAAGATAAAAACACAATTATGCAGCTAACTTGTTTAATCTAATGGAGTAGCTGTTGCTGTAATTCCAAAAGGTCCTGAATATTTTAAAAAGATACAGGTGTTCAGTATATGTTTGTTAAATACAAGTTGTTTGACTGTAATCAGTGTTTTCAACAAGAGTCACTGAAAGTTGATAATCAGGAACATTTTTATGGAGGAAAATAAAAAATAAACCAGTTTGGCTACCTGAATTTCTGAGCACTGTGATGATTCCAACATTTCTCAATTGTGTGACACGCTATTAATGGTTTTGGAACTGAGTCAGGAAATGATAGTAAGGGCAAGGATCCTAAATTGTTCTCTCTGCCAAGACCAGACATGTTAACTCTCATTCATCACCCCTTTCAAAATGTATTTTGTATATGTGGCAACTCTTTTTTATGTTTGGATTTTTTTCTTTTTGTTTTTTTACATTTATTTTTTATTTTTCTTAAGTAATCTCTACGCGCAATGTAAGGCTTGAGCTCACAACCTCAGGATGAAGAGTCTCATACCCCACTGACTGAGCCAGCCATGTGCCCCAGATTTTTCTTCTTTTTTAAATATTTAATTGCTTATGTAACACACTGAATCTGTTCTTTTACTTTTAATTTTTTTAAAGATTTTTAAATTTATTTTTATAAAAGAAAGAGAACCAGCAGGGGAGGCAAAAAGGGAGAGGGAGAAGCAGACTCCCTGCTCAGCGAGGAGCCAGACGTGGGGCTCGATCCGAGGACCCTGAGATCATGGCCAGAGCTGAAGTCAGACACTTAACCAAGTGAGCTACCCAGGTGCCCCTACACTGAATCTGTTCTTTTTAAAATATTAGAATATTACGGCAGCCCTGGTGGCCCAGTGGTTTAACACCGCCTTTGGTTCAGGGTGCGACCCCAGGGGCCCCGGATGGAATTCCATGTCCCCATGTCCAGCTCCCTGCAGAGAGCCTGCTTCTCCCTCTGCCTGTGTCTCTGCCCCCCCCTCTCTTTCTCTCTGTGTCTCTCATGAATAAATAAAATCTTTTAAAAAGGGGTGGGGGAGTTGCTGTGTTATTTCTGTCATTTCTACCATTAAACGTAGTACTTTTATCAATCCAGAAAATACTCAAAATAATCTCTGGAAATTACCCCTCTTCCCCATCTGCCCTTCCCTGTCACTGTTTTAAATGGTAGCCCTTTTCTTTATAAACTTCCTTATTAGCAATCAATTAAAAGGATAAGATGGGAGTTAAGCATAATACAATGAAAAGTAACGGTGAACATTCAAAGCAATACTTCGTACCTTCACTTTTGGATTGTTGCAAAACTTAATATTAGTATCACACATCTCTGTACCTGTGTAGTATATTTTGAGTGGTTTTTTTTTGTAAATTTTTCAAATTTTTCTGATCTTATTTAGCTGTTTGCATTTGGAAACATACGGGGCAAACACAACACCTCTGACAAAATTCTCAACATGTTGTCATAGTATTCTAAAACAAAGAACCTTAAGGAATATTCTCAGCCAAATGGTCAGACTTGAAGCTAAGAAATAAGTATATCATCTCGAATGAGTGAGAGCAGTGTTTTCTAACACGTAGACCTCCCTCTCCCTCTCTCTGCTTGCATGCTGCTGTCTCTCAAATAATTAACTCTTTAGGGATGCCCAGGTGGCTCAGCCATTGAGCGTCTGCCTTCAGCCCAGGGTGTGATCCCCAGGGTCCTGGGATCCAGTCCCACATTGGGGTCCCAGCAGGGAGCCTGCTTCTCCCTCTGCCTGTGTCTGCCTGTCTCTCTGGGTCTGTCATGAATAAATAAATAAAATCTTAAAAATAAATAAATCTTTAAAAAAATTTAAAAAAACTAAATGGTGATACCATATAAGATTACTAAGATTCCAACTCATTGGAACTGGATGTGGTACATGTAGGTCCCTACATTTCTGTTGTGATTGTGTAATGTTGCACCTAATAACTCAATTGTAGTTTTAATAAAATTTTATCCCAAAGTTGATATTTGTAATGACTAATATATTATTGAACAACATTAATTCCTCGGGATGCCCGGGTAGCTCAGCGGTTGAGCATCTGCCTTGGGCCCAGGGTGTGACCCCCAGGGTCCCGGGATCGAGTCCCCCATTGGGCTCCCTGCATGGAGCCTGCTTCTCCCTCTGCCTGTGTCTCTGCCTCTCTCTCTCTCTCTGTCTCTCATGAAGAAATAAATAAAATCTTAAAAAAAATAAATCCTGAATTTTTTTCCATACAGTGGGGCACTAAATTGTGTCCAGACACTAACCATTCTCAAGTGTGTTTCCTCCGTGATTAACAAAGCAAGCGTTTCTTGCAGTTACACAGCCTGTACCCAGGCACATATAGAAATATATTTTGAAATAACCTTTTTTTTTATTGCTTAATTTTAAAGTAATGTATGGTGGACAGAAGGTTAAGGCTGGGGTTAGCTTGTGGGACGCCTTTGTGGGCTCTTCGGAAGTTGCCCGCTGAGCCCCCCTTTCACAGTGCTTACACCAGCAGATGCACCCCCGGTTCCCTTCCCACCTCACTATCTGTGGATGTGTACCGCCCCAAACTTAGTGGGGTAAAACACAGACCATTTAGCTGCATATGGTTCTGTGGTTGGCGATCGGGTTGGGATCAGCTGGGAAATCCTATTCCATGTGTCAGCTGGGCCCACTCAAGGTTGCGGTGGGGGACTAGGCAGGAAGACCTCGGTTCTAGGATGGGCGCCCAATGCTTACTCTTGGCTGGAAGGGTACGTGACCCCCCGTACGTGACCTCCCTGGCCTCCTCCAGCCTGCGTGTCTTTATGCCATGACACAAGTGGTGCAAGAAAGCAAAATGGCAGCTGCAAGTTCTCTTAAGGCCCCTGCCTCCAAAGACTCCTGATGTCATAAGGCCAGTACAGTTCAAGGGGCGGGGAAATGGACTCCACCTCTTCGTGAAGGACAGAGAGAAAGGTGATAGGCGGGATGCCTCGGGGGCTCCCGGCTGTCCAGCCTCTTTCTACGGGGACATTCTCATTTCTCAGGTCGCCCTCCTGGATAGGACCAAGCCAACCTCACGCTAGGGTTTCACCGGGTGACCTACATAAGCTCCGTGGGGAAAATCTCTTGCCTTCGCCACCCCTGGAAGCCTGGAAGCGCTGGCCGATTTCAGTGGAGCGGCCTACCTCTGGCTAAAGCATCAAAGAGTGAGTCAGGCGTTTGCTTGCTTTTTGGAATCGCTGGTAGGGCATTCTTAGCTTTCTCAGGCATGAGTCAGGCATCTGTCACCGCCCTGTGGCCAAAGGAACCCCCTGGGTATACCAGGTGTCCCCTCCCCACGGTATTCACAGCTCAGCCACCACCTACTTTAAAGGAACTCGGCACCACCCTCCTTGCTGAAGCTTTCTCTTCCAACCTCGCTTTACTAACCGTGGTCCCGGGAGCCCAGGAGATGTGCAAAATGTCGTGGAAGGCTGCGTGTGGTATCTCACTTCAGTTTCCTGAGGTCTATCAGCTCAGCGTGTGCAGCAAAACAGCAGTTGGAGTCGGTGCCAAGCTAACACAATGACCCCTCTGCCCCCAGCAGCTCAGCTGACCGAGGAAGGCCTGGCAGGGAACAGTAAGGGGGACTTGAAGAGATGAAGAGAGGAGTACAAGCTTGACAAGTCAACATGCTCTCTTCCAGAAGGGAGCACATCCAAAGACTTGAGTTTTGAAGGGGTATGACCTTCTGATGGGAAAAAAAAATGTTCACTGTGACTAGTGAGTAGGTGGAGAACAGTTGTATGATGCGAAGCCAAAGAGGTAGGTGGGGGTCCCCTGGTGAAGAACTTTATTTTTTTTATTTTATTTATTTATTTATTATTTATTTATTTATTTATTTATTTATTTATTTATTTATGATAGTCACAGAGAGAGAGAGAGAGAGAGAGAGAGAGAGAGAGGCAGAGACACAGGCAGAGGGAGAAGCAGGCTCCATGCACCAGGAGCCCGACGTGGGATTCGATCCCGGGTCTCCAGGATCGCGCCCTGGGCCAAAGGCAGGCGCCAAATCGTTGCGCCACCCAGGGATCCCTGGTGAAGAACTTTAATATTGGCTGTGGGATCTTGGCACTGAAAACAATACCTGGGCAGCCCAGTATTGAGGTTCAGCAGTTCAGTGCTGCCTTCAGCCCCGGGATGTGATCCTGGAGACTCGGGATTGAGTCCCGCGTCGGGCTCCCTGCATGGTGCCTGCTTCTCCCTCTGCCTGTGTCTCTGCCTCTCTCTCTCTCTCTCTCTGCTGTGTCTCTCATGAATAAATAAGTAAAATCTTTAAAAATAAATAAAAAATAAACGCTTAAAAAAATAATTAGATCCCTAAATGGTAGGAGTATGATAAAATGGTATGTATCCACTCAATAAATCCCTTCTTTCCCTTAATTCCCACCCCTACCCACAGCCAAATACCCTTAGTGCCTTCGAGGGAAGAAATAGGAGACCCCACAAGCAAGAGGTGCTTGTAAACGTCCAGATCACCAAGGTCCCTGCTCCACTTTTCCCAGGGGCAAGAAAGGAAAAACCGATTCCCTTGAGAGCACACGTGGTCTAAACCATCTTAGGGTCGTGCCCGCTGGCCTACTTCCCCAAGAGCTGGATGGGCTTCACCTATTTTTTTTTTAAGATTTTATTTATTTATTCATGAGACACACACACACAGACAGAAGAGGCAGAGACACAGGCAGAGGGAGAAGCAGGCTCCATGTAGGGAGCCCGACGTGGGACTCGATCCCAGGACCCCGGGGTCAGGCCCTGGGCTGAAGGAGGCACTAAACCTCTGAGCCACCCGGGTTGCCCCAGCTTCACCAATTTTTACATAATTAGTAAAAACAGGTTAACATGTGCTGCTGGAAGCTCCTCTTACTACCCACCTCCTACCACCAGATTTTCGTGTCCCTAATTGTAATCAGGGTCACTAACCTGCCCCGGCACAAATGGTCTCATAATCAGCATCGTAGAGCAGAAGAAAAGCTAGACTCTCACGCAAAGGAATTAGAAACTTTTTACACAAAGCAGCTTGGTTTTAGTTTTCTGACTTACTTGAGAACATTCAAGCACATGCAAAATAAAGAAGACCGTGGGTCCCGATGGAGCCACCACCCGGCCTCAGCAACAGCAGGGCGCCGCCCGGCCACTCTGGGTGTATCCATACCACCCCTCACTCCCAGGCCTCAAGGCATCTGTCAGGGTACTGTGCCTGAGCTAAACGTTTCCACGCTGACATACACACGGGGATTTATTTTTATTTATTTAAAATATTTTATTTATTTACTCAGGAGAGACACACACAGAGAGAGGCAGAGACACAGGCAGAGGGAGGAGAAGCGGGCTCCACACAAGGAGCCCATGCAGGACTCGATCCCAGGACCCCGGGGTCACCCCCTGAGCCGAAGGCAGATGCTCAACCGCTGAGCCACCTAGGCGTCCCACACAAATATTTTTAATTGTACAAATGACAAATGACACGCCCATGTGAAGGGCACCCCTGTCAAGATACAGAATATTTCCATCACCCTAGAGCTTCCCTTGTGTCATTTCTTTTCATCCCCTCCACTTCCCAGAGGTACTAACCACAGACTAGATGAGTTTGGGCTGTTATAGAACACCCTATAAATAGAAAACAATATGTGCTCTTGTCCATTGAGCTTTTTTTAAAAAAAATTATAATATCTGAGCTTCATCTAAATGGTTGCGCATATAAATCATTTCTTCTCTTTTTTTTTAAGATTTATTTATTTATTCATTCAGAGAGAGCGAGAGAGAGGCAGAGACACAGGCAGAGGGAGAAGCAGGCCCCACGCAGGAAGCCCGATGTGGGACTCGATGCCGGGTCTCCAGGATCACACCCCAGGCTGCAGGCAGCACTAAACCACTGTGCCACTGGGGCTGCCCAAATCATTTCTTCTCATTGCTAAAAAGTATTCTGTTGTATAGTGTCATAAACAACCTCCAAGATGGCTCTTGATTCAATCCCCTTCCATATGGAATAGAGCTCGTCTGTGCTACCAATAGGATTTAAAAAAATAATAATTATTTATTTATTTATGATAGACATAGAGTGAGAGAGAGAGAGGCAGAGTGTGTCACAGGCAAGGGAAGCAGGCCCCATGCCGGGAGCCCGACGTGGGACTCGATCCCGGGACTCCAGGATCGCGCCCTGGGCCAAAATCAGGCACTAAACCGCTGCGCCACCCAGGGACCCCCTAGGATTTTGAGGGGCGCCTGGGTCGCGCATCGGCTTAAGCATCTGCCTTTCTGCTCAGGTCCTGGGATCGAGTCCTGCTTCAGGCTCCCTGCTGAGCGGGGAGTCTGCTTCTTCCTCTCCCTCTGCCACCCCACCACCCCCCAACCCTGCTCATGCTCATGTTCTGTTTCTAACTCAAATAAATAAAAATCTTAAAATGATTTTTAAGAAACCACCGTGTGTGACTCCCAAAGCTAGGTCATAAAAGATATTATAGTTTCTACCTTGCTTTATTTTGGATCATTCATTCTGGGCAAAGCCAGCCTCCGGGTCATGAAAACACTTATTAAGCCACCAGGGGAGAAGCCCATGTGGGGAGAAACTGAGGCCTCCTGTTAACAACCAGCACCATGCGATACAAATCCTCTTGCCAAGTCTTCTACCCGGCACATCCTTGCCTGCGACTTCACGAGCGATTCTAAGTCCGGACCATGCTCCTGAATTCCTGACCTGTAGACACCGTGCTCAGATGTCCGTCCATCTGTAGTTTTCCTTTCTTGATAATGTCTTTGTCCGATTTGGTATTAAGGTCATGTCGGCCTTCAAGTGTGAGTTAGGAAGTGTTACCTTTGCTTCTATTTTTTATAACATTGTAGAGAACTGGTTACTTCTGTTACTTAAATGGTTGGTAAAATTCACCAGTGAAACCATCTGTGCCTGGTGCTTTCTGTCTTGGAAAGTTATTACTAATTCAGTTTCTTTAATAGGTAGCCCTACTCAGATATTTCTTTTTGTGTGAGTTTTACTATCCTGTGTCTTTCAAGGAATTGATTTTCATATGTTATCAAATTTGTGGGAATGGTTGTTTGTAATATTCCCCTATCATCCTTTTAGTGTCCATTAGATTGGTAGTGACGATATCTCTTTCCTTTCTGATATTAGTAATTTGTATTTTCTCTTTACTCTTTTTAATTTCTGTCCTTTCTTCTTGGTTAGCCGGACTAAAGGTTTTTCAATTTTATTGATCTTCCAAAGAACCAACTTGTTTTGTTAATTTTCTCTTTTTTTCTGTTTTCAGTTTCATTGATTTCTGTTCTAATTTTTATTATTTCCTTTCTTCTGCTTTAATTTGCTTTGGATTTGGGATGCCCGGGTGGCTCAGCAGTTGAGCATCTGCCTTTGGCCCAGGGCGTGATCCTGGGGTCCTGGGATTCAGTCCCATGTGGGGCTCCCTGCATGGAGCCTACTTCTCCCTCTGCCTGTGTCTCTGCCTCTCTCTTTCTCTCTCTGTCTCTCTCTGTGTGTGTCTCATGAATAAATAATTACTTACCTTAAAAAAAAATTGCTTTGGATTTAATTTGTCCTTTTTCTAGCTCTCCTAAATTGAGAGCTCAGACTACTTTTTTTTTTTTTTTCTAAAATGCATTTCAATGCTATAAATTTTCCTCTAACCACTACTTTCACTGCAACCCACAACTCTGGCTGAGTTTACTTTAATTTTTACGTATGATAAAACATTTTTTTAAATATTTTTTTTATTATGAAGTAAGTTCTACACCCACTACAGGGCTTGAAATCATGACCCTGAGATCAAGATTTGGAGGCTCTACCAAATGAGTCAGCCAGACGCCCCTAAAATATTTTTAAATTCTTTTTGAGACTTACTCTTTGACTCATGTACAATTTAGAAGTATATTGTTTAATCTCTAAATATGTTGGGATTTTCCAGCAATCTTTGTTATTTCTAGTTTAATTACCTTGTGGTCTAAGGGCAAACTTTGTATGATGTCTATTCTTTTAAATTTGTTAAGGTGTGTTTTATGACCCAGAATGTGGTCTATCTTGGCAAATGCTTCGTGTAAACTTGAGAAGAATGTGTATTTAGCTGTTGTTGGATGAAGTGTGCTAAAAATGTTGATTATACTCAGTTGATTGATGGTGCTCTTTGATTCTACTCTATCCTTACTGATTTTTTTGCTTGTTGCATCTGTCAAGTACTGATAGGTATTGAAGTCTCAAACTCTAATAGCAGATATATCTCTTTCTCCTTGCAGCTCTCTCAGTTTTTGCCTCACATATCTTGAAGCTCACTAATTCTTCCTTCAGCAAGGTCCAGTCTACTAATGAGCCCATCAAAAGCATTCTTCATTTCTATTACTATGCTTTTTATTTCTCGCATTTTGTTTTGATTCTTTCTTAGGATATCCAGCTCTTTGCTTACATTACTCATCAGTTTTTCCATATTATCCACTCTTTTCTTTAGAGCCCTTAGTATATTTACTATTTTAACTTCCTTGTCTCATAATTCCAAAATCTTTGCCATGTCTGAATCTGGTTCTAATGCTTGCTTTGTCTCTTAAGGCTGGTTTTTGTCTGTTAGCAAACCTTGTAATTTTTTGTTGAAAGCTGGACATGATATACCAGGTATAAACCTTTACTGTGAGGTTTTATGTTTACTGCTAGGAGTTGGGCTATATTTAATGTTTGCTTTGCTTTGGTGTCAGAGGCTAAAATTTCACCTAGGGTCCTTGTTTTTGTCTCCCTTATTGTCTTTCATTATTCCTAGAAGAGGAATTTAAGAATAGAGTTTGAGGATTTCAGTTCTTTTAGCTTTAATCTCCTATTATTATGCAGGAGCCCTACTGATGAGGTGGCAAAGTGTGGGAGAAGTGTTCTATAATCCCATAATAAGTCTCAGTCTTTTAGTGAGCTTGAGCTGGGTATTTCCTTTCCCCCCAAGTCAAAGGCTAGAGGAGGCTAGAGTTAGGTATTTCCCTTCCCCCTGGTAGGTTAGGCTTTGGTAAAAACCCAGTCAGTTAGGCTCTGGTAATAGGTTTCCTTGAGGGAGAACTCTGTTAAGGAGAACTGAGAGCTCTTTAGCACTTTAAAAATGATTATTTCCCCCTCCCCCTGGAGGAATTTCCCTTTGATCCTTAAAGTGAAAACTTGGTTTAGCTGTTAGAGGTAATATTCAGGAAGTGTAAGGGCCTTCCTAATCCTGGGCCCCTTAGGAGTTCTTAACTCTCAAACTAGTCTGCAATGAATTTTCCAACAATTTGTTAGTTACGGTTTAAAGTTTTCTTACTAATACTGGCTCCAGCTGCTGGCTTTTGCTCCTAGGCTTCTGCTCCCTGTTATCTGTGATTCTCTGTCGGTCTCAGTTTTCAGGGCAGCCAGTTTGCCCTGTGACCTCAGTTCTCTACTACGTCTAAGAACAGTTGCTGATTTCAATTTTTTCAGCTTTTTTCTTGTTGTGAGTTTGGCAGTGACAACTTCCAAGCTCTTTACCTGTCAGATAAGAATCAGAAGTCACCAATGTGGATTCAGTGTTAACCATTTATGAACTGTGTGATAATGAGCCTCATTTTCCCATTGTGAATAATAATACCTACTTTGCAAAGTTGAAGAGATTTGGGGTTTGCAGGAAAACCACTTAGCATGGTATAGGAATTTAATGAGTGGTTGCTTTATTATTCATTGATGGCAAACTTTTCTGAGGAACTAGGCATATTCCAAATAGTGATCTATTCTGCATGAAGGATTAGCAACCTTTCACTATGGTTAAACTAAGCCTTTATTTACTCACTTCTGCTTTCACCAGAAAACTGAAACTCAGTTCAGGTTCAGTTTTCAGTATCTTCTAACATTCATTTTATATTATCATTCAGAAAAGTCATTTTTCTGAATGACGAGTATATTAAAGCTTCGTTCATTTCACACTTATAAATTACTTTCTTGATCCTCTTGTTTTATATCTGCAGCAGCAAATCACCTGTACCTGAAAGTTCACCGGACTTAGAAATGGAAAAAATGAGATTGAGTCCTAATCCATCATTAATTCGCTGAATGATTTGGGGCAAGTCATTTACACACTTGAGTATCAGTTTCTTCAAACCACAAACTATGTGAAATAGATAATCAAAAACCCCTTTCAGGACTAAATTTCAATCTCTCTCTCTCTCTCTTTTTAAAATGTGATCTCTGGCCCAACGTGGCCTCAAATTTATGACCCCAAGATCAAGAGTCACACACTCTTCCAACTGAGTCACCCAGGCACCCATCAATTTCAATCTTCTAATCACTGATCAACATTAACTACTAACAATTTTCATTTATTGATTTATTAAAAATTTATTTATGAGCTCTTGGGTATATTACACAGTATTAGCCACAAGGCATTAAGATGGAAGTAGAAACCTAAAAAAAAAAAAAGTACAACAAAATAAACATAAAGCTTATAGTCTAGTTAGGAGTTAGGCATTATGCCAATAAATCACACAAGTAAATAATTATACATTGTGGTAGGTTCTATGAAGGAAACTACAGTGTTGGTGAATAGTGAGCCCTAGAGGGACTGATTTTTTGGAAGATCAAGAAATATTTTTCCGAGAAGTGATATTAACCAATGGCCAGGTAAAGAAAGGGTAGGGAGTCAGAGCATTCCTGGAACTGAAGAAACCTCACCCCTTGTAAGTAGGGCCAGCCCTAACCCAGAGGCAGCCCATCCAGTCTTCTTCCTGAAATTTTAGCAACTAAAAGCATTCTGTTTACAATAAGAAAACCGTCCCCCCACACACACACCCTGATTGGAATGTCCCTGAATAGGTTCACGTTGACCCTCCCTGAAATCAACCTGGATGCCATGCGACTCCCGCGGTTCTTTTGTCTTTAGGCAGTTTCTTTCCTTTTGCCTTTTAAAAGATCCCTGTAATTGCTAATCGGGCTCTTTTCCTCCTCGGAGGCGGAGAGCCCGTTTGCGCAAACGTTCAATAAACCCTCTTGCTAACTGCATCTGCCTGTCTGGGATCTGGGTCTCTGGGGCGTCCACCGGGCCACGTTGGCACCCGTGAGCCAGGGTCCAACATTTGGGGGCTCGTCCGGGATCTGAGACGCCCCAGACTCAATCCTAAGACCGGTAGGAGGTAAGACCGAGCTCGCTAAATGTCCTATCTGTCTCGTCCATTTGTCTGACTGGCCGGGTCTGTTTTGTGCCGGGTCTGTATTGTGCCTGCAGGACGCTGTACTCTGTATTCTGTATTTGGACCAGCGGGGGAGGCAGACGTACCCGAGACCCCTGGTCCCCCTCCGGAGTCGGACTCCGGAGTGGTCTGGAAGAGGAACGGAGCCCCGGCACTCCCTCCTCTTCGGGGAGGGTCGTGGTTCGCGACCGCTCCCGTCTGAATCTGCCGCGCCAGTCCTGTCGTTCGTGTGCGTCTGTTCGTTCCGTGTTTTTCTTCCTTTCCTGTCCTCCTCCTCACCGCTCACCCCTTCTCTACACCCATGGGGCAGACTGTAACCACCCCTTTAAGCCTCACTCTAGGTCACTGGAAAGAAGTCGCCGGCCGGGCACACAATCTTTCGGTCGAGGTCAGAAGACGAAGATGGGTCACCTTCTGCTCCTCAGAGTGGCCGGCTTTCAACGTCGGGTGGCCCAGGAACGGAACTTTTAATATTGACATTATCTTGCAGGTGAAGGCCCTGGTCTTCCAGCCAGGACACAATGGACACCTCGATCAGGTGCCGTACATCATAGTATGGGAGGATCTCGCTAAGAATCCACCCCCCTGGATAAAATGCTTTATCCCTTCTCAAGGGGGACCGAGCCCGAGACCCTCACTCCCTCCCTGCCACACTCCCCCAATTCCCCGTCCCTCCTCTCCCTCCACCCTTTGCCCCCTAAAATTTCCTGAATCAAAACCTAAGGAGCCGCCTGTGCTCCCAGGGGACCAGGACAGTCTCCTTCTCTTGGACTCCTCCCCTCCCCCTTATGCCCAACCCCCAACGCCCCGCTCGGAGGCCCCTACCTCTCCCTCCGCTCCCTCAGCTCCGTCCCCCGACTCTACGGGGGCAGAGGGGCAACCCCTCGCTTCACCCCCGCTCGCCAGTCGCCTCCGCTTTCGGCGAGAGCGCGGGGGAGAGTCGGAAGACGTCTGGACCTCCCAGGCATTTCCCCTCCGGTCAGTAGGCGGCCAGATGCAATATTGGCCGTTCTCTGCCTCTGACCTTTACAACTGGAAAACCCATAACCCCTCCTTCTCCCAAGACCCCCAGGCGCTAACCGGATTAATTGAGTCAATTCTGTTGACCCACCAGCCGACCCGGGATGACCGCCAACAGCTCCTGCAGACTCTCCTCACCACGGAGGAGAGACAGCGCGTGTACCTCGAAGTTCGGAAAAACGTCCCGGGGGCGGATGGGAGGCCGACCCAGCTCAATGGGATGGGCCGACCCATCCCAATCCTAATGGCCGACCCAGCTCATTGGGATGGGCCGACCCATCCCAATCCTAATGAGATTGAGGATGTTTTCCCCTTGGTTCGCCCGACCTGGGACTACGACACTGTTGCTGGTAGGGAGCGGCTCCGTCTCTATCGCCAGGTACTCCTAGCGGGTCTCAAAGGGGCAGGGCGTCGCCCCACCAATTTGGCAAAGGTACGTGCTATAGTGCAGGGAAAAGAGGAGACGCCGGCAGGTTTTCTGGAGAGGTTAATAGAAGGCTACCGCATGTATACTCCCTTTGACCCCTTGGCTGAAGACCGCCAACCAGATGTAATTATGTCCTTCATTGGACAGTCGGCCTCGGATATTCGTAATAAGTTACAACGGTTGGAGGGACTTCAGGGGTACACCTTACAGGACTTAGTGAAAGAGGCAGAGAAGGTTTTTAACAAGCGAGAAACTCTAGAGGAAAGGGAGGAAAGGATCCGTAAAGAGCAAGAGGAACGGGAGGATAAGAGAGATAAAAGACGTAATAAAGAGCTGACTAGGATACTGGCCACCGTAGTACAGGGCTCAGGGCAGAGTAAGTCAGGACAGAGTAGGGACCTGGGAGACAAAAGAGGACCACGGGTTGAACGAGACCAGTGTGCCTACTGGAAAGGAAGGACATTGGGTTAAAGATTGCCCAAGGAAGGGCCAAACGCAGGGACCTAAAAAGAAGCCCATTCCTGTTTTGTCCCTAGAAGATGAAGATTAGGGGTGTCAGGGCCAGGAACCCCCCCTGAGCCTCGGATAACCCTTAAAGTGGGGGGACAGCCGGTGACCTTCCTGGTCGATACGGGAGCTCAACATTCAGTTTTAACTGAGGCAAAAGGACCCTTGAGCTCTAAAACGTCTTGGGTTCAGGGGGCAACTGGAGGCAAGTTATATCGATGGACAACCGAACGGAAGGTCCACCTGAGCACTGGGCAAGTAACGCATTCCTTCTTACTGGTCCCAGACTGCCCTTACCCTCTCTTAGGCAGAGACCTTCTTTCAAAAGTAGGGGCCCAGATACATTTTCAGCAAAAAGGGGCCACTATTACTGGCGCGGGAGGGCAGCCCCTCCAGGTACTGACCTTGCGCCTAGAGGATGAACACCGGCTGCACGAGGACTCTCCACCGTCCGTGCAGCCCCTAGATTCTGAATGGCTCACTAACTACCCTCAGGCCTGGGTGGAAACGGCCGGAATGGGACTAGCTGTAAACCAGCCGCCCATAATTATAAACTTAAAACCCTTGGCCACCCCCATATCGATCCGGCAATATTCAATGAGCAAAGAGGCCAAAGAAGGCATTCGGCCACATATACAGAGACTATTACAATTGGGCATTTTAATACCTTGCCAGTCGCCCTGGAATACTCCTCTATTACCCGTAAAAAAACCCGGCACAGGAGATTACCGGCCGGTACAAGATTTACGAGAGGTTAACTGGAGGACAGAGGACATACATCCCACGGTGCCGAATCCCTACAACTTGCTCAGCACCTTACCCCCAAGCCATGTCTGGTATACGGTGTTAGATCTAAAAGATGCATTCTTTTGCCTGAGGTTAAGCTCTCAAAGCCAGCCTATTTTTGCTTTTGAATGGAAAGATCCTGAGACGGGATTCTCAGGACAACTCACTTGGACAAGGCTGCCACAGGGATTCAAAAACTCCCCTACTTTGTTCGATGAGGCCTTGCAACGGGATTTGGCAGATTTCCGAGTTGGCCATCCGGACCTCGTCCTTCTGCAGTACGTGGATGATTTGCTCCTGGCGGCTAGGACAGAACAGGATTGTGTAAAAGGTACGGGGGCCCTGCTTGAGACACTGGGAGAACTGGGGTATAGGGCCTCCGCCAAAAAGGCCCAAATAGGCCAGAGACAAGTGACCTATCTGGGATATCTCCTGGAAGGAGGCCAGAGGTGGCAGACGGAGAGCCGCAAAAAGGCTGTAGCCCTGATCCCAGCACCCACTAATGCCAAAGGACTACGAGAGTTCCTCGGCAGTGCTGGGTTCTGCCGCCTCTGGATACCCGGGTTTGCGGAGATGGCGGCTCCCCTATATCCTCTCACGAAATCCAACACCCCCTACCACTGGGGAAAGGAGCAGCAATTGGCTTTTGACAAAATAAAAAGGACCTTATTGACCGCCCCTGCCCTGAGCCTCCCAGATGTAACCAAGCCTTTTACACTATATGTTGATGAACATAATGGAATAGCCAAAGGGGTCCTAACTCAAAAACTGGGACCCTGGAAAAGGCCCGTGGCATACTTTTCAAAAAAATTAGACAGCGTGGCTGCAGGATGGCCCCCATGTCTCCGAATAATAGCGGCTGTGGCAGTCCTGGTAAAAGACTCAGACAAGTTGTCTTTCGGCCAACCCTCACTGTGGTGGCCCCCCACGCCATAGAGACAGTCATCCGCCAGCCCCCTGATCGATGGCTCTCAAACGCCCGGGTCACCCATTATCAGGCCATGTCACTGAATTCTGAGCGGATACGGTTTGGAACGGCTACATCTCTAAACCCGGCCACCTTGCTTCCAGAAACCGAGTCCCCCTCCCTAGTAATGCATGATTGCCACCAGATCCTAGCTGAAGTCCATAGCACCAGAGGGGACTTGACGGACCAGCCTTTGCCAGATGCTGAAGCAACCTGGTACACCGATGGGAGTAGCTTTCTACGAAATGGTGAGCGTAAAGCCGGGGCGGCCGTGGTAGATGGGAAAGCTGTCATTTGGGCCAGTGCCTTAGAGCCTGGGACTTCAGCTCAAAGGGCAGAGCTTATAGCCCTAACTCAGGCCCTAAGAAAGGCTAAGGACAAAAAGGTCAACATTTATACTGACAGCAGATATGCTTTTGCAACTGCCCATGTTCATGGAGAAATATACCGTAGAAGGGGTCTCCTAACCTCAGCAGGTAAAAACATCAAAAACAGAGAAGAAATACAAGATCTTCTCCATTCCCTCTTTCTGCCGAGAAAACTGAGTATAATTCACTGTCCTGGGCATCAGCGAGGCAATGACCCAGTAGCAGAGGGGAACAGGATGGCCGATGAGACAGCACGGGCCGCTGCACTAGGCCCACAGGCCCTCTCCCTACAAGTACCAGAGGCTGTCCGGACACCGGGGCAACTCTCTCTCGAGTACTCAGACAGCGACCTAGATATCATCCAGCAAATAGGGGCAAAATATGACGAGCAAATGAAGGTCTGGAAACACCAAGGGAAGACGGTCCTGCCCCAGAAAAGGGCCAAAGAACTGGTGACTCACCTCCACCGATGGACTCACCTCAGACACACAAATTAAAAGCACTCCTCCGGAGAGAAGGTCAGACCTATTACATTCCCAAACTCCCCTCCCTGATCCAACAGGTAACCGACGCTTGTGTACCTTGTGCTAAGGTAAATACCAAACACCTCAAGATGCCTGAGGGAACCAGGATGGGGGAGAAAGACTCGGAACTAACTGGGAAGTAGACTTCACCGAAATCAAGCCAGGTAAATATGGTAACAAGTACCTCCTAGTGTTTATAGATACCTTTTCAGGCTGGACAGAAGCATTCCCCACCAAGCGAGAAACCACCCAGGTGGTTGTCAAGAAAATCCTGGAAGAAATTTTCCCCCGGTTTGGACTGCCCAAGGTAATAGGGTCGGACAACGGCCCCGCCTTCGTCTCCCAGGTAAGTCAGTTGGTGGCCAGATTACTGGGGATAAATTGGAAATTACATTGTGCATACAGACCCCAGAGCTCAGGTCAGGTAGAAAGAATGAATAGAACAATTAAAGAGACCCTAACTAAATTGACATTGGAGACTGGCACTAGAGACTGGGTCCAACACCTCCCTATGGTTCTGTTCCGAGTCCGGAACACTCCCGCGTGCCATGGGCTAACTCCTTACGAGATTCTCTATGGAGGTCCCCCACCATTAACGGACTTACTAGATTCTGCTATTGACCCTCTTGCTAACACTCCCGGTTTACAGGACAGGCTAAAGGCGCTCCAGATTATCCAGCACCAGATCTGGAAACCCCTTGCGGCTGTCTACACCCGGCCCACACCCGTTCCAGATCGGTGACTCCGTCTAGTCAGGAGACATCAGTCCAGGACGCTTGAGCCCCGCTGGAAGGGCCCATATACTGTACTACTGACCACCCCAACCGCCTTAAAGGTAGACGGCATTGCTGCTTGGGTCCACGCCTCACACGTCCAGCGCGCCCCATCAACGAGCACCGCTGACGCCAGCCAGGACGGACCGGACGAGCCGCTCCAAAGGAAGCTCCACCGCACCCAAAACCCGCTCAAGATAAGACTTTCAAAAATTGTTCAATGACAGTTGTTATATTCCTACCTCTCCTAGCGCTCTTCACCTCCGCCAAAGGTGACCCTCATGCCCTCAAAAGGTTAACCTGGCAGGTACTAACGTCTGGGGGTGACGAGGTCTGGTCTATAACTAAGACCGCCCCCGTGGGAACCTGGTGGCCTGACCTATATCCTGACCTATGCAAGCTAACCATAGGGGCCCCTAGCCCATGGGACCTAGAGGGATACTTCGACACCTCTAGAGCCCCTAACCAAGAAAGCCCTCCAGGGTGACTGGGATTAGACCCATGGGGAGGATGTGGCACGCCTGACAGAAGGGCCATGCTAAGCACTCTTCCCTTTTATGTCTGTCCCGGGCACCACAGGGATCGCAGGCTAAATCCCACCTGTGGAGGAGGGGAATATTTCTATTGTAAAAATTGGGGGTGCGAAACTACTGGGGATACAGAATGGAGGCCCTCCTCCTCCTGGGATTATATCACTGTCAAGGCTAACTATACTCACCCGACATTTAGCAAATGGAAAACCCTTAATTATGGGCCCTGCCAAGGGTGGTGTCATCCCCTACGGATATCCTTCACGGAGCCCGGAAAAAGGGCTACTTACTGGGCCAATGGATATACGTGGGGACTCAGGTTATACAAAGAAAGAACAGATGATGGTTTTATATTCAGAATTAAACTAAAAATAGAATCCCCAGACCCCGTGGCGATCGGGCCTAACGCGGTCCTCGGGGAACAAAGAGCTGCCCCGGCCCTAGCCGCAGGGAGCGCCGCACCCACTAACTTCGCGGTCACTCCAACCCCTCGGTCATCACCCGAGACGGGACAACGACTGTTTAATCTTATCATAGGGGCATTCCTGGCCCTTAATCGAACCAGCCCCGATGTAACTAAATCCTGCTGGCTCTGCCTTGCTTCCCCTCCCCCTTATTATGAGGGAATTGCTACTTCAGGGATCACTAGCACTCAGGGATGCACACCCGACTCCCAACCACAATTCACCCTTACAGAAGTTACAGGACAGGGAACCTGCATAGGAACACCCCCCCCCCGGGGCTACCAGAGACTCTGCAACACTACCACCCCGATTTTGGGGACTGATTCTTACCTGGAGCCCCAGCCGGGAACTTGGTGGGCATGCAACAAAGGCCTCACCCCCTGTGTGTCGGCTAAGGTTCTAAATAGCTCAAACGACTTCTGTGTCATGGTGCAGATCATACCCAGGGTGTTCTATCACCCTGCTGAAACTCTAGAAAATCAGTATGATAAACATCCCACCCGTTTTCGGCGCGAACCTGTCTCCCTAACCTTAGCCGTTATGTTGGGACTAGGGGTCGCTGCTGGGGTGGGTACTGGCGCAGCTGCTCTGATCCAGGACTCACAACGTTATATAGAACTCCAAACAGCTGTAGATGAGGATCTACGGACACTAGCGCAGTCCGTTTCTAAGTTAGAACAGTCCCTCACCTCACTTTCAGAAGTAGCACTTCACAACAGGAGAGGCTTGGATTGACTATTCCTGAAAGAGGGAGGACTGTGTGCGGCCCTGGGAGAGGAATGCTGTTTCTATGCAGACCATTCTGGAGTCATCAGAGACTCCATGGCCAAACTCAGGGAAAGGTCAAATAAAAGACAAAGGGACCGGGAGGCCCAGCAGGGCTGGTTTGAAAGCTGGTTTAATCAGTCTCCCTGGTTGACCACCCTAATCTCTACCATTATGGGCCCTCTAGTTATCCTGCTCCTGCTGCTAACTTTCGGCCCCTGCGTCCTCAACCGGCTGCTCCAGTTCATCTGAGAAAGATTGTCTATTACCCAAGCTCTGGTATTAACTCAGCAATGTCGGGCCCTCCAAACTGAAGAAATAAATGTTCCCTAAGATTTTAAGGTTAAAATCAGCCCAAACAAGAGGAGGGAATGAAGAAACCTCCCCCCTTGTAAGTAGGGCCAGCCCTAATCCAGAGGCAGCCCATCCAGGCGCCTTCCTGAAATTTTAGCAACTAAAAGCATTCTGTTTACAATAAGAAAACCATTTCCCCCACACACACCCTGATTGGAATGTCCCTGAATAGGTTCATGTTGACCCTCCCCGAAATCAACCTGGATGCCATGCGACTCCCACGGTTCTTTTGTCTTTAGGCAGTTTCTTTCCTTTTGCCTTTTAAAAAATACCTGTAATTGCTAATCGGGGCTCTTTTCCTCCTCTGAGGCGGAGAGCCCGTTTGCGCAAACATTCAATAAACCCTCTTGCTGATTGCATCTGCCTGTCTGGGGTCTGAGTCTCTGGGGCGTCCATCGGGCCACGTTGGCACCCATGAGCCAGGGTCCAACAATAGAAGGAAACTACCTAAATATAACAAAGACCATTTATTTAAAAACAGGTGCACCTGGCTGGCTAAATTGGTAGAGCATATGACTCTTGATCTCAGGGTTGTGAGTTCAAGCCCTTCACTGGATGTGGAGATTACTTAAAAATGAAATTAAAAAAAAAAACCCTCTAAAAATAGCACAGCTAGTATTCAAAATGGCAAGCTAGGGACGCCTGGGCGGCTCAGTGGTTGAGCGTCTCCCTTTGACTCAGGCTGTGACCCCGGGGTCCTGGGATCGAGTCCCACGTTGGGCTCCCTGCATGGAGCCTGCTTCTCCCTCTGCCTGTGTCTCTGCCTCTCTGTATCTCTCATGAATAAATAAATAAAATCTTAAAAAAAATGGCAAGCTAGGTAAAAAATTAAAATCAGAAACTAGAAATAGAATCACCCTATTTAAGATAAAAATTTTATTTTATTATTATTTTTTTAATTTTTATTTATTTATGATAGTCACAGAGAGAGAGAGAGAGGCAGAGACACAGGCAGAGGGAGAAGCAGGCTCCATGCACCGGGAGCCCGACGTTGGATTCGATCCCGGGTCTCCAGGATCACGCCCTGGGCCAAAGGCAGGCGCTAAACCGCTGCGCCACCCAGGGATCCCTAAGATACAAATTTTAAAAGAACAGTTTAAATATTCTTTTTCTGCTAATGACATTATATACCTAAGGTATTCAACAAAATACTGGTAGAATTAATAAGAGATTAGTAATGTGGCCATGGATCAAAGGAATATATATACTAGATTCATTAGGTTTCTCAGTTTCAATTTTCTGGCAACAGGCATCTAGAAATAAAAAAATGATAAAATATTCTATATTTTATTCATATAGTGGAAAAACTATAAGATACTTAGGTATAAATTGGTTAAACATATAAAGAGAAATCTATAAAATTTTATTGATAAGTGTAACATAAAAACATTAGACTGAAGAAATGGGAAGACACACTATATGCTCAGATGCAAAGTTAGCATAGAAATATTTCTCCCAAAAGTAATATATTATTATTATTATTATTATTATTATTTTTTATTTATGATAGTCACACACACACAGAGAGAGAGAGAGAGAGAGAGGTAGAGACATAAGCGGGGGGAGAAGCAGGCTCCCTGCAGGGATCCTAATGTGGGACTTGATCCCTAAACTGGGATCACGCCCTAAGCCACAGGCAGATGCTCAACCGCTGAACCACCCAGGTGGCCCAATATATTAATTTTTAAAAATGTTTTAATCTATGCCCAACGTGGGTCTTGAACTCATGACCCCAAAATCAAGAGTCACATGCTGTACCGACTGAGCCAGCCAGGTTCCCCAGTAATATATTAATTAGTTGTAGCCCCAATTATATGTACTATAGAATTGGATAAAATACACCTAACATTTATATGGAAGGTTAAATTCTACAGAAGAGTCAAGAAAATTATGAGAGAAATTAAGTACAATGAAGCGAGAGTTGTCTTATTACATTTTGAGCACTTAATACAAATACTCTATCAAATCAATGTTATTATAAAAAGACAAAAAGGTCGAAGTATTAGAATAGAGAAAAAAACTGTTTTACATATGTGAATATATGATACTAAATATATTTAATGTATCATATATCATAAATATATGACTCTCCAGATTAACTGGAGAGGATAGATTTTGTGTTAAAAGGCATGTAACATTAAATTTACCATCTTAACTATTTTTAAGTATACAGTTCAGTAGTGTGAAGTATGTTCACTTGGCTGGGTAATAGATCTCTGGAACCTCTCAGCTTGTGAAACTGAAACTATACACATTTCCCCTCCTCGAAGCCCTTAACAACCACCTTCCTACTTTGTCTCTGTAATTTTGGCTACTTTAGAAACTCTATATGAGTGGAATCATACAGTCTTTGTCCTTTTTTTTTAAATTGTGATTTTTAAAAAATAGTTTTATTTATTCATGAGAGACACACACACACAGAGAGGCAGAGACCCAGGCAGAGGGAGTAGCAGGCTCCTAGCAGGGAGCCCAACGTGGGGGATCCCAGGACCCCTGGGCCAAAGGCGGGGCTAAACCACTGAGCCACCCAGGCTGCCCATCTTTGTCCTGCAGCTAGCCTATTTAGCATAATGTCTTCAGGGTTTGTCCAGTTGAAGTATGTGACAGGATATCCTTTCTTTAAAGCTGCATAATATCCCGTTGTATGTATGTACTATATCTTTTTTCTTGTCAATGGATACTCAGGTTACTTCCATTTGTGCAAATACCTCTTTGAGATCTGGCCTTGAATTAGTTTGAATATGTACACAGAAGTGGAACTGCTGGATCATATTGTAATTTTTTTTTATTTTTTTGAGGAAACTGCATCCTGATTTCCATAATGGTTGTGCCAGTTTGCATTCCCACCAACAGTACACAAAGATTATCCTTTTAAAGAGTATTGAAAAAAAAAAAAGTATTGATTGTGTTAAATCTACTTGAGGATCAGCTTGATCCATTTCAGGCTTATTATTAAGATTTATTATGGTAGGTTGGGTCCAGCAAAGACTTTATTCTGTTACTTTTATCCCTACTACTATGGCCTGGCTCTTCTGAGGGCTGTCTGTACCCAATGCCTGTGTAGGATGAGATCTCTCTCTACCATGACTGGTGGGAATACAAACTATTCCCTGTCCTGTGGGAACTCCAGGAATTGTCCTGCTTACTCCTTTCCTTGGCTATTTCCAAGATTCCTCCCACTTTTTTTTTCCACTTTTTTTTTTTTTAAAGATTCCTCCCACTTATGTGTATATCAATACTTAGTCATATATTTATTTGAGGGGGCCCCTCTATGTTCTCCAGACGTCTCTCTCTGTGTAGCGCCCTACTCTCCAGGTCTCTGTCTCATAAGTTCTAGCAGCCTCAACATCCCTGAAATCTGATTTCTGCCTTTCCAACTTTTGGGGGTAATACTCCTTTTAAAAGTTGTACAGTGTTTCGTTAAAGAGTGTCGAACTTCACTCAGGCAGGTAGTTAAATCACTTTTGGATCACATTCATCTTTTCAAGGTTTGATTTGAAGTGTTTTAGGTGTGTGTGCATATGCAGTCTTTCTTGTAGAACCAGTTTAGCTCCACCACTAAGGTGGGACCTCTGAGATATCTCCTGAATGACCCGTTTACTCAATGAGATCTCTGCATCCTGTTTGATGGGCGCTAGAATAATCCCAAACCTTGTGTGAGCTCTAGGAATTTTCTGCATTAGGGCTCCTCTGCAAATGTCCCTTCCTTAGCAGTTGCTCTTTGCCTGGCCTCATGCAAAGAGCACCCTTCACGCACAAGACTAGTTGCACCCTTCATGCACAAGACTGATTTCAATCTTTCTCTCCTATCCCATCCCACTGATTTTAGCTGTCTTGGCATCCCCAAACTTCAATCTCTATCTTCTCACCTTACTGAGAGACCTTCCTGCATTGTAACCAAAAATTGTCCTCAGGCAAAAAGCCAGGGCAATCCCAGTGCTTACCTAGTTTCTCCTTCGCCCAAAGATCACAGTCCTGTGCTTCTTGTGTCCATTGGTTTCATTCCCCACCCGCCGCCCCTACTTTTTAGGAGTTCATAGTTAGAGAGGAGGAATGTCAGAGCAACAGAAATCTAGCCTTGACCTAATCATACAGATTCTCTGTAGCAGTCCCTGATATCCTTGAATTTAACAGATACAGCATCTGAAAATGGTTGATAAAAATGTCTTTGTTCCTGGGCAGCCAGGGTGGCTCAGTGGTTTAGTGCCACCTTCGGCCCAGGGCGTGATCCTGGGGTGCTAGGATCAAGTCCTACATCGGGCTCCCTACATGGAGCCTGCATCTCCCTCTGCCTGTGTCTCTGCCTCTCTTTCTCTCTGTGTCTCTCTTTCTGTGTCTCTCATGAATAAATAAATAATTTTGTTTTTTAAAAAGGCCTTTGTTCCTAAATGCAGAGAAAACACATGAGGGTCGAAGCAATAAGGATGTTATTAATACTGTCAAGTCCCTAGTTCACTAGAGGTTGTTGTTGTTGTTGTTGTTTTTAATGAAAACCACACTAGGGGAGTATTATAGGACATAAAGAAGACAAATCTTGTTAATTTCTTGTTACCACAGAGAAGCCTAAGGGATTCCATCAGAAAAGAGAGGAATGGTTGAGTTTCAGCCAAGCTTCACCTCCTTTCTATTCAATCTTGATAAATAATGTGGCTCATAAAAGTGCCTTTGAGAGGTTTTTATGTTTGCTTGCATAAAAATAACAACAAATAATATACTCATTATCAGTAAATGGTTTTTAGTGACTCATTAATTTAACAAAATATTTTTAAATGCCTACAATGTTCCAAGCACTATAGTAGGGACTGGGCATACAAAAATAAGAAGTAAGTCTCTGATGTCAGGGGACTTAAAAGATAGTGAGATGAGCTCCTTAACATTTCATTACGACGTAGCACATGATTGCAATAATAATAATATATATGTTATATATAATATATAATATATTATATATATAATATATATAGTGGAAGAATTAAGATGGCAGAGGAGTAAGGGAACCCTAGCTTGCCTCATCCCTCAAAAACACCTAGATAAATATCAAATTATTATGAACACACAAGAAATTAATCTGAGGACTGAGAGAGCAAGATTGCATAACTAGAGACTGAAAGAACTACCATATTTGGAAGGTAGGAGCTGTGGAGAGTTGATATGGAGGAGAGAAGAGCTGCCTGTGCTGTGAAGGGGAGGGAGCCCTGATCAGAGAGAGAGAGAGAGAGAGAGAGGGCATGCGGGAATTGCACAAGAAAAACTCCTCAAAATCATTAACTAGGAAAAGGAGAGGGGATAAATATCCCAAGTTTTTTTTTTTAAGATTTTAATTAATTAATTAATTAATTTATTTATTTTTAAATTAAAA